AGTCCATCAGACAGCCAGAAGACTTTAGTGTTGCCTGGGAGGCCTCTCACTCAGCAAAGCAGGGTTCGGAAAGCGGTGCAGGAGCTTGGAGCTTTCATACATGCGGTCAACACATGTCAGGGATTCCATGTGAGTTTTTTTCAAAAGCAGTGGGCCCTTCAAGGTTCCTAAACAATGTTCTTTCCTGTGTGACAATTGTCGCTTCGATTAAGCGCTTAGATTGCAAGAGCCCTGCAGGACATCAGGATTTCGCTTTGCAAAGAGGAGCCTGAGATCTCTGAACATTCGATGTTTGGGGACTACCTTGGGTGGTGTCATCATATCATTGAAGCCTGTGGTTTCCACATGGTTTCGCAGCTGAGCACTTATCGCCAGTTCTGCTCATGGTTGGGCACGCAGAAGTCTGAGGTGTGGTGTTGGTTTTAAACTTTAGTTTATATATATATATATATATTCCCCTGCAACAACATGTCTCACACGAGTCATATGAGTTGCAAATATACAGCAGGCCCCAACATGTTCCAACCTTCGACTCCCTGCAGACCACAACGACGTCAACGCCGAAATCGTCTCCTTCCCCATCGGCGTCGGTGAAGAGCAGAGGGAGCGCAGAGGCCTCCCACGGTTCACGGGTGAAAAAGATGTGAGCACCAAAGCTTCCCAAAATAGGCGTACCCAACCATGACCGATCTCTCCAGACTTGAAACCATGAGTATGAACTAGCCAACACTCACACAAGCTGACCAGGTGAAGCCTCTGAAGCGAGCCCTTGCTTACATGAACCTCGAAGAGGTGCTGCCACCCGACGAAGATGCCTTGACCACGCCGAAGCAGTCATTGAAGAAGCCTCGCTTTGCTGATCAGGTGGCCAACGCTTTGGAGACACCCTTCAAAGTAGTGACAAACCAGTCAGTCCCCTGTCTGGTGATGTGCGTTCCCTTTGAAGTGGGCAGGTTTCACGCTAAAGGGAATGAAAGACTTGAATCTTTTTCACTTGTCTAGACAAAACCAACGAAGGTCAAGAAGCCTGGTGGCTTTTTGAACGAGTTCAACGGCTTTGACTTGGTGAAACTTGGCGTGCCACTGGAAGCTCGACCGCTTGCCAACAAGGAGTATAAGGGCAAGAAGGGATACACGGTGACTTCACCTACGGGTGCCGTTCCTTGATATTCAAAAAAAATGTTTTAGGCTCCTAGGCTTGTTTTTCACGACGCCCTTTTGCATATGTCCTTCCAACCTATACCGTATATATCTTTAACATGTGGACAGCCCTTCAACCGACAAGGCTATCGAAGTGCTTGTGGTGGCTGAAGCATACGTGGTGAAGAGATGCGGAACTGTGGCTGGAGGTGAAGGTCCAGAGTTTTCTACTTTGAAGTCTGGCCAGGTCACTTGGTCCAAGTTCGATGGCCCAGCAAAGGCATGGGAGGTAGCAAAGAAGAGGGCCTACTTTGTGTAGGTAGATTTTTGTACTGCAGTAGACCAGGAGCACTGCAGACTTATATTTTAGGTTAGCTGCGGAAGGGTCATGGGAACACACCATGGATTGCAACCTTTCCATTCATGCAGGTCCAAGGGGTTTTCACAAACGGCTTCATGGCAAACTTTTGCCAGAAGCTCTAGCTTTGTGGTGGGGGGCTAAAAGCCTGGAGCTTTTGATCACGCGCGAGAAAAAACAATCACGCCTGAAGTGCGATGTCACTCTGGCCACCCATGCACTGCTCATCTGACCTGTGTCGTCAGGTGCATTGTTTCAGCTTTCTTTTCGTAGAGTTTCCAAATAAGAGAATTCACCCATGGAAAGAGAACCTCCACATTGAGCATCTTTTCATGAAGGTTTCCATAAGAAAAATTACCTTCATCTCAATAAAGCAGGGTATCGCACGTCTTTCTAATGACCTCAAGGCCTCGCTTCAATCCATTGTCCAAAACACAGGCCAATCCAAGAACCCAAAAAATAAACCATCGGAAAGCTTCGCCTCGTCCATATCCAGGTACTTTGCCGAGACCTGCAGGAGCTTCCAGCTGCGCAGAGGCGTTTCTCTCTGGGTCTTTCAGGGTGGATGAAGTTCTTTGTCAGAAAAAACTTGAGGAAACGCGGATCCTTCTTCAGAGATTGCTCCTTTGAAGCTCTTTGAACAAAATTTGTTCTTCTTCAGCTGTGCTTTCTAGTTTTTCTTATCGTGGTAATCGGCTAGCTTTTGAAAAGCCCTGCGCTGCTCCACAGCATCAGCCCGTGGCCTCAAACGGTCTCCAGTTGAGCTTTCAAGCGACTTCCTGAGAGCAATGGGGAAGACTGCGAAGGGGAAGACGATGACTAAACGACAGTCGAACGACCGTTTGAAAAAAGCAATCAAGAAGATGCCTTTTACTCCATCGCCTAAGACCCGAAGCCTGCTCACTATGAAGGACAAGCAGCGTCAGTGGGTTCTTTCAGGCTTGAAGCATTTGGGGGCACCTCTTGTGATTTGCATGTTATTGAGCAAAGGTTTGGACATAAATATATATTTTTTTTAATACACTGTATATATATAGTTTACGTGTCCAGCTATTATTCTAAGTGTGGGTTGTCATGTCCTCTTTTTTCCTGTCTTGTTTGGCCCAAGGTGTTGGCGACCCTTGTGTCTTTGCTTTTCGCTTTGCCGGGGCTTCCTTGGGAGAAGCCAATCAAGCACCTTGAAACCTTCTCGGGGACCATGGAAGTGACCAAGCACGAATGGCTGGACAGGGGTCGGGTTCAGAAAAGGTGGTGAAGTGTGTCCTAGAAGTAGCAGGTGAAAAGATTGAACGCTTTGCTTGTATTACTCTTCAACCCCTTTTTGTACGTTGTCCCTATAGGAGGGACGTAGCGCTGTGCCCTTTGACATCACTTACAGCCCAGAGACTATGGATTTGCTCTCTGACTCCGGGTTTGCAAACGCCTTGTTTTGGACGCTCAACTTGGAGCCCGGCAGTGGAGCACTGTCAGCGCCGGTCTGTTCGTCTTGGGTCTTCCTGCAGCTCGGTGATTCAATGGTCCATGTTTCATGGGCTTGTTGGTAGCTTGAAACCATCTCCCCCAAAAGGCACCAGGAAGCTTGAAAGACATGACGAAGAACCCAAGCCATACACTTTCCCGGGGAAACTTGCGAGGGCTTTCTGGTGTGGAAGTGTTAGCAAAGTAGGATTCCATGTTTAGGTGCACCGCTTGAGTCAGCAAAGGTCAAGAGGATCAACCCTTCGCAGCCGGACCAATCCTCTTGGAAGAAACGACAGCGAATGCGTCCGACAGGGCAACATTCTGTGCGGCCGCACCCTGGTCTTAATGATACTCTGCGCTGCCAAAGGCATATTCTGGTGCCTAGAACAACCGCAGACGTCATGCATGGAGTGGCACCCATTGTTTCAGTACATGGTCAGGCTACTCAGAGTCCGGTCCCTGAGATTCCGCATGTCTGAATTTGGAGCGCCCACAAAAAAGCCTACCATCCTCTATGCGAGTGCCTTTGATGCGTTTTCAAGCCGAGCAAGCGAAGACTTGTAACCTTTTGCCACGGGTCATGTTTTGATGTTTCAAAAAGGTACTATAGTCTAATGGCTTCGGGGGGTATTCTGGAGTGGTTCTCAGGCCATCAATGCATTGACGACATCCTGGAGTACAAAGTCCCCGAGCGCCTTGCGCAGAAAGACATGGTGCGCCGCTACGTCAACGGCGCCGGTGAACACCGAGTGCAAGGAGGAAAAGACCTCAAGCAAAGCCAATCATATCCGGCTGGGCTTCTTGGACCCCAATGGAAGATAAGCAAAGAGAGAAAAATAAAAGCGTGTGGTTGAAATCTGTGTTTCGGGGTCAGAGATGTGACACTCAAGCATTCCAACCCTGATGAATCTCTGTTCTAAGGTTTGGCAACGCCCTTGCAAAATGCAGGACTCGGAACATGAAGACTGTTCAGAAACAAGCTTTCCGGTTCCTCCGGGCTGCCAAGAAGACAACGGGCACTTTTGACCGAAGGGTCAAAATCAATTCTGATTTCATGAAAGGGGCTGACCTGAAGCCCGTTTTGGACTTTCTGTCCGAGAAGTAAATAAGACTCCAAAGGGGTTCTGCTTCAATCTTGATCGGGCATTGCTGTGTTAGGGGATCTTTCAACACACTGCCACGCAAAGCAAAAAGAAGAGTTTCAGCTGCAACCCCAACAGATCTTTGGAAACTAATGTGGACTGCTCGAGGAATCCTATTTTGACCTTTTGCTTTAGAAGCTATCCACAAAAAGTGTGTATCAGCTCTTCATGTCTTCGTGGAAGTTTTGCCAGAAAGGATATCTCGGACATCTGGTTTGGAAACAGGGGTGATGTCATTCTACAATACTGTTGCTGCCAACCATGGATCCACTGCCCACAGGCTATGGCTCCACGCCTCTTCTTGAAAAGGCAGGCGCTCATCGTCCTGCACGGCATGTTCTTGCAAAGTGCATCGCAGTGGTGTTTTTTTTCATGAAACCATCGGAAATCCACTAGTGCGCTTTGTAGCGAAGAACGTGCGCAAAGCCGAGAATACATGCGCCTTGTAGATCTAGAGCAGTGGGGCACTTTTCATGGGGACAGTTTTGAACTCTTTGTCCAAAGAACATGGAAAGTTGGGGTTTGAATTGACAGTCCTCATTACATTCTTTTCCTTCTCATGAGCCGTTTTGTGTTCCCCAACCATTCTTAGCATGCCAGCTGTCCCTTTGCGACGGATGGTGGGTAAAGGCGGTAAAGGACCTGCGCCTGAACCGGGGAACAGGCCTTCTGCTCTGAGGAAGCCTACAGGGAAAGATGCCTTGGCTAAGAAACTGACCAAAGATATCCGGATGCATGCCAAGGAATCAAAAACAAAGAAACAGACTGATCAAAAGGGGAAAGACGCCAAAGACAAGCCTGAGGAGAAAGACACGAAGAAACAGAAGCAGGCTAAGAAGGAGGAAAAGACAGGAAAAGACAAGGAGGTTGAAAAGACTCAGAGCAAGAAGCAAGGAAAGGCTCAAGCGCAGCAGAAGATCCAGGAGGTGAAAGAGGAAGAGAAACAAAAAGAGAAGAAGGAGAAAACCCAGAAGCAGAAGAAGGATAAGGAAGGCAAGGGAAGCTCAAAAAAGGATGGCGAAGAGAAGAAGGAACACAAGGAAGTCAAGGAAAGCCGAAAGGAGAAGAAAGAGAAGAAGGAAGCGAAGGAAAGTGCAAAAGAGAAGAAAGAGAAGAAGGAAGCCAAGGAAAGCGGAAAGGAGAAGAAGGATGTGAAGCAGGCTGAGAAGAAAAGGTCAAAGAAAAAGGAAGATGAGAAGAAGGAGAAGAAAGAGGAAGCCAGCGCTGCTAAGGAAGGCAAGAAACGTGGCAATGATGGCAAGGATGAGGCTGTGAAGCCAAAGAAAGCAAAAGTCACTAGCCCTGCCACACCTGACACCATGGTTGGTGGCAAGAG